AGATAGTCTCTGTCAACTGCTTCTTTACATGTGTATGTTTGTGATCTAAACTTGCGAGTGGGAGAGCTTCTCCAACAAACCACTTCCACTCTCTGATCCAGCACTGGATTCAGCCCTAGAGATGCCTCACCTTCCCACTTCCTGGAATGGAATCCAGAGGCCAACATCTGGAACACAACAGAACCGTAAAACTGATCCTCCCCCTTCTGCGGCTGCTCCTGAAAAGCCTGCACAGATGGAATTCCTCAGTCCACAGTGAAGAGGAAAACCAGAATATTTAAAGCTGCAAAGCAGCCAGATCCATCTGACAATTTCCTGACACTTGCTTTCTTTTAAAGAGAGGACCTTTTAAAAATGATTCAGTACATAAGAACTGCCTTGGTGGATTACAGCAAAGGTCTATCTACTCCCGGTATTCTATTTGCAACAACAGTCAGATGAACCTGGGAACTCGAGAGGAGGGTAAGAAATCCATCAGTATGTGATACTCAGGAACACTCCCTTTGAACACCGAGTTTTGATTTAGCTATCACTTCTAACAGCTGCTGATAGATAAATCCCTTTTTTAAAAAAACTAGCTATCTAAACTTGTGGCTCTTATCACATCTTGTGAGTTCCATCAATTAAGTATGCATTCGTCTGATGAACATACTCCAAATCCACTTCACCGGTAATCCCACATCCAAGTATTATATACAGAGAAAAATGTCTCTCTCCAAATCATAACTGATTCCATAAACCACAATTACGCTTCTACCTAACAGTCTCTTCTGTAAACTAACAAGCCTCAAGTGCATTACCCTTTTCTCACAGGGAAGGTGCTCCAACCTTTACATCATGTTAACTGCCCTTCTCTGAATAAGATCGTTCTTGAGAGGAGGCAGTCAGAACTATGCAGCATTCCAAATGCTGACTGGTTCAGGGATTTACGTAACAGCATTCAGATTCTTGGGGCTTTGTCTACCCCTTTCCTAAAAATTCCAAACACTGAACATGGCCTTTTCATTTCTGAGAGGACATTCCACCACAAACCCCAAATCCTTTTTCTGGATAATCCCAACTAGTTCAGACCCCAACAGTATATATATGATTTTGATTTGACAAAGACGGAGGTCCTGTGCCTGAGCCGAGGTGGTCTGAGGGTAGGTAGGGTTCCCACTCCCGACCTTCGATGGGGCTCCAATGGTGCCAGCGCTGGAAGTTAGGAGTTCGGGAGTGCTCTTGGATGCTTCCTTAACAATGGAGGCCCAGGTAGCAGCCACAGCCAAATCAGCCTTTTATCACCTTCGGCTGATCAGGCAGTTGATACCCTTCCTTGAACGCAACGACTTGGCGACAGTGATCCATGCTATGGTCACCTTGAGACTAGACTAGTGTAATGTCCTCTACATGGGGCTGCCCTGGTCTCAAATCTGGAAGCTGCAGCTCTTGCCTGTGCTAAAAGCATTGTGCTGGCTGCCGATAGCATAAAGGTAAAGGTAAAGGTTCCCTTGCTCGAAAGCCAGGCGAATCCGACTCTAGGGTTGCGGTGCTCATCTCCGTTTCAAAGCCGAAGAGCCAGCACTGTCCGAAGACGTTTCCGTGGTCATGTGGCCGGCATGACTAAACACCAAGGCGCACGGAATGCTGTTACCTTCCCACTGAAGTGGTACCTATTTATCTACTTGCAATTTCTTGCTTTCGAACTGCTAGGTTGGCAGGAGCTGGAACTAGAGACGGGAGCTCACTCCGTCATGCGGCACCCGGGTCTTGAACTGCTGAACTACCGACCTTCCACAGTCTGCAGTTCAGCGTCTTAACCACTTGAGCCACCGCAGCTCCGATAGCATACCGGATCCATTTCAAGGTGCTGGTTCTTACCTTTAAAGCCCTTTATGGCCATGGACCTACATACCTGAGGGACCACCTTTCCCCCCACGTACCCCAGAGAGCACTGCAATCAGGGACCCAGAACCGGCTGGCCCTCCCAAGTCTCAAGGAGGCCAGACTAGTAACAACTAGGGCCAGGGCTTTCGCGGTGGTGGCTCCACTCTGGTGGAATGAGCTCCCAGAAGAGATCAGGGCCTTGCGGGACCTTCTACAGTTCTGTAGGGCCTGTAAAACGGAGCTCTTCCACCAGGCCTTTGGAGCCGCCGCCATTGCCAACAACTGAGAGCCTAAGGCTAGAGAGCCCTGTCCCTCTCTGGGACCCTGACGATAGCCTAAGCTAACCGCCTGAGACGGTCTAAGGAGATCAAGAAGCCTACTGTGAGAAGAGAGAACAACTGCTGTGTAATTAGGACTATTTGTTTATAGGACTAATTGCTTTTAGGACTATTTAAATGTTTTAACTATTGTCTAACTTAAATTTTATGTATTTGTAAATGTTATGTTGTTTTGTAAGCCACCCTGAGCCGGCCTTGGCTGGAAGGGTGAGGTAGAAATTTAATAAATCAAATCAATATGGTTAACAATTCTTCTGTCTCAGTATCTCATTATTCTGTTGCCCATTTCACCAGGTGACCAAGATCCTTTGTGAAGCTTTTTACAGTTTGACTGGGATTTTGCCCTCTTTAATAGTTTGGAGTCATAAGCAAACTTTGCTGTTTCACTGCTCACCTTTACACCAGTTCATTTATTGTTTTGTAAAAGCAAATATCTTTAATAAAAAGATCTCTGCAGGGCTCCATTGCAAAAACTGACCTTATAGTCCCACCCTCTCCTTCCTGCTTTTAAACCAGTTACTGATCTATGAGGACTTCTTATGCCATGATTGTTAAACAAGCTTTTGATAATGGACTTTCTCAAAAGCTTTTTGGAAGGCCAGGTATACATACATGCATCAATGTCAAATTCAAGCTACTCAAGGGGACAAATTAACATCAGACTCGTTACATGTGAGATCCTGAAACAATATACTGCAGACTTGCCTGCGGACATGATCTTGCACCCATCTGCACAAAGGTGTCCAGCTACTTCATTGTAGTCATAATTCTGCTATTGTGCGCAGACAGTGAGACCACTGGGAGCATCTATCACTCAGTTCCTCCCCACCTGGAAGTGGGTCCACCTGGCCATTACATAAATATAGCACCTCCGAATCTTTCCTCAGCAAGCTGGGAAACTTTGTCAACAATGGAGAAAATTAGGCATCTGCTTGAAGGTAGGGCAGAATTAACGCAACATTTGAATTACACACAGCAGCAAAAGCTACAGTGGCTAGTTCTAAAATGCCTAAACTCTGGTGTTGAAAAAGTGTTGATATATTTTTTATCGGTATATATATCAAATTAAATTCACTCATCTTCAATGCTAAGGGCCAATTTAATATATTGTTATTTGGCATTATGCAGTTGTATGCTTGGATTTTGCATAGCTTTTATTGGTTTTGATTAATTTTACGGTAGACTTCCTTTGGGCATACCAGCCTTTTGCTGTTAATATACAGAACATCTGCCACAGAATGTACCAACTGCACACCAGTTATTAATGCCCTGCGCCTAACAACAGCAAAGTTTGACTGAATGTGCTTGTTCTCTCCACCATGAACATTCCTTCTTCCAGGTGTTGTGTCACTTAAATTGTAAACCATTCCAAAAAGGACCCATCTACCTCATTATTAGTAGAGAGGTGACACCAGCAGTAATGAGCCCTATTAACTCTCTCTGGAACCAATAGAACCTGAAATGCTGAAATTTTGGATGGCCATAGGAAGAGAACTTATAGGAGTCCCGTTGAAAGAAGTCAAATGTATGAGACACAACGCCATAACCATTTAATGCCCCTGCTCATTTGAAGTGGTAACAGAAAACCTGCTGCCATAGGACATCCAGTAGCAATGGCTCCTTATTAAGAAGAGGCATCAAAAGCACCCTAATCCCCATCCTACCCAGCCACATTGGCTTAGGAAAACAGCTTGGGGACTTTCACCCACATAACCCCTCCTTATATCCTAAGGCATTGATGTTGGTGGTTAAGTTGGTGTTCCACAGAGGAAGGATAAAAAAATGCTAGTCTGTACAAAGGATTAGCTTGCTAGAACAGTTACAAATGCAGATAGTTCCAGGCGGTCAGCCGTGCTGGTCTCAAGCAAAAGAACAAATTTAGTGTCCAGTGGCACCTTTAAGACCAACAAAGGTTTATTCAATGTATGAGCTTCTGTGTGCAGGCACACTTTTTCAAATACCTTTTTGAAAAAGTACCTATTTGAAAAATACCTACTTGAAAAAGTGTGCGTGCACACAGAAGCTCACACCTTGAATGAACCTTTGTTGGTCTTAAAGGTGCCACTGTATTCTAAATTTGAGTTACAAATGCAGTGTCTCTGTCACATCAACCACTGTGAACACTTGCTTTAAAGAAAGGTAAATGCAGGTTAATTCAGGGACAGCTAACATGACCAGGGCACAAAGATGTCAAGGAAAGCTGTGGTCAGCTCCAAGCACTTCAGGACAGGACAATCCAAAAATTCATTTTCAAATGCTTTTTAAAAAAGCAAATGCTCTGCAGCCCAAATTAATTCACGCCCGGGCACCAAGCATTTCAGTTTCCTCCAATAAACCTTCCTTTGGATAGAGTTATATTCAGCAATATGAACCACTCCCCCTCCTCCATCTGCTCAGAAAAGATGAACAAACAAGCCATTGCTGAAAGAAGGAAGGAAGGAAGCATGTTCAGCCATCTCCTAGGAAAACCATGCCAGAGTGAGAAGAGCCCCTCCTCCTACCACACAAAAAGGGGGGTGAAAAGTTTAAAAGGGGAGGGGAGAGCAGAAGGAAAACACACACATACACACCAAATTCCCAGATACCAAAATAATCCACTCGGGTACTGAGACTCCCCCTCATTCAAAGGAACTGAGTGGTGGTCAAAGAGAGAAGCAAATTTCAGCTCACTCATGTTTTCCCCTCCCACACACACAAACAACATATTAAAAACCGGGATCAGTTAATGCGCTGGCTTGAGTCATCAGCCATATGATCAAAGAGTGGATCTAAAAAAGGGGGAATTGGTTTACTCACTGTCTTGGGTACAATCTGTTTCTTAGGCTGCCCAATCTTGAACGGAATCCTGGAAAGGAGAAGGGGTGGGGGGAGAAGCAAGCACAGATATTTATATAAACAAGTAAGCATAACTGCTCTCAGATACAATATCATTTTCACACAGCAAACTCCAGAGTCTCGTTCTTGGGGGAAGAATTGAGTGGCAAAGGATTGCTGTTTGTACCAAGGTCTGAGAGCCAAATTTGAGATAAACGTGTAAGTCAGCCATTGCTCTGTTCTGTGGAATTATCTATTTACATCATTAAACAAGAACTCCAACAGCAAGATCTTCCCTTGACCTGAGTAGATAAGTGTGGTATATAACAACAATAAGGAAACAAAGCCCTCTGCAAATGTTTAGATAAAGAGCAGTGGGAAGAAGAAAAATTAGAAAGCCATATGTTTAAAGCCGTGAATGGCTTCAAAGGATTTTTGAATGCAGTACTAGGGGGAGGGAGGGCTCAGCTGACATCTTTTCTCCTTCTTAAGAGGAGACCTTCAAAACTGTGTCACCTGAATTCATATCTTCACAGGTGCTACTTGTAAAATAAAGGCACCTTGCTAGAGTGATGGCTACGAGTGCTTCTAGACCTCAACTGTCTCCAATAAACACAGAGTTTTGGCAGGTGAGCCACACATCAACCTGCTGGAGTGCCAGCATCCTGGATACCTGCAAACCAGACACCCACTGTGACAACTGACAACTGGAGGTTCTTCTGATGCAGATTCGTGTGTGTTTACAGAGTATGTACTAATACAAATAACGTTACATCCGCATTCACACGTGAATTAAAATAGCTGCTAGATATCTCTCTCCCACAATCAATGAAGTCAACTGGTATTTCTTTGGAAAATATGTATCCCCCTCTTCCTACCAGAAAGTAGCAATCATGGTAGCGTTATTGTGACCTCACCCATTGTTCACAGACATTTTAACTACTCTGAGGAAGGGTCAGGCAAAGAATGTTGACGTTAGTACAGGTGCTTTAACTGAAGCAGAAAGTAATTTCGGTTTGGAGGAAATCCTCACCCTTCTGTAGGGGCAGGTCAGGAAATTGTGCTGTTGGCAGAAAAGAGGGGAAGAGTGATGGGTTTGCAATGGCTGGGGCCAAATGGCTAAGGAGAGAGACTCCTGCTGATTCAAACTATTCAGCAAATAACTTCCACTGAAGATCCCTATGCATCCTCTATTTCTTCCAGCTAAGGCAATGGTGGGGGAATTGGCAAATTCGGTTCTTGGTAAGGTTCCTGTGCCTTTGACAACTATGCAGAAGGGACGGCAGCAACAGGAACAGCCTTGCTTACCCGTTTATACCACTTTTTGCACGAGTGCTTGACTCAGTTAACAAAAATTTAACTGCACTGCAGCATGGCAGGGGAAGCTGCACCTCTTTGAAACCCTCCTTTTTACACAAGCATTAAATGTATATGCCCCTTGCATGAAATCCAATTTGTCTAAGAGTTGAGCAGGGAGTGGAACATTAAACAGAAGGGAACACACACTGCTTACTTTAAATGCACTAGTGGGTACGCTTACACACGTGCTTCCACTCACACTGCCATTTATACACAGTTTGTCACGCATCCTTCCCCTTTCAACTCCACGTGAAGCATCCCAGCTGCATAACCCAAGCCCCACTCACGACACTTATGAAACTCATGCCTAGGTGCAGAAGCTCAGAGTTGCAGCCCAGGAAGCCTGCTCAAAAAACAGGATGGAGGCGGAGTGGAATTGAAAAGAGTCAGGGCAGAAGGGAGGCAATCTGGCCTGGACACAAACTCTTCTGTTCGTTGCAAAAAAGCAAAGTATATTGGACAACAGAACTGGGAGGGAGTCCCAGTCAGTTCCAGTTTTTTCATATTTACATCCCACCAGCCATGGAGCAGAGTAGGTTAGGCTGAAAGTGTGGTGACCTGCAGGCCTCAGAGGTGAGCAGGAAGTTGAACTTGGGGCTTCAGCATCCCAAGGCAAAACTACCTGCCAGAGACTTTTTTCAGCTGTGGGCACCTTTCCGCAAATACCACACCACGGAAGACAACACAGACAGCTATATAATCTGGGCAGGGGGGGGGAAGGGGGATATAAAAAGCCATTGGACGTCTCACATCCCTCTTTCTTTTGCCTTCTTAACCAAATGCCGCCATTGTTTTCCAACCAAGGGTATAATTTTGCCACCAATAATAAACCTAGCCTGCAACTTGTAGCCCTCCTGAACTGACCATGGAGTACAAACCAGCTTTAGTATAAATTTAATTTCAGAAGTGTTTCCTGTTTATTGTTCTACTGTAGGTCTAATGTAATTTTAGTCTGTTAACCCTTTCTTGCTTTGCTGGCATTCTCTGCTGCAATGAATCACACATCTTCCATAAACAAGCAATTGTCTGGCATATAATTACATTGTCAATAGCAACTTGGATGTTTTGGAGGAAAAACACAAGAAATTAAGGATCCCCCCCCCAGCTTTTTTCCTACATTGGCAAAAATCAAAATTGGGGTGATACCGTTTATTGTTTGTTATTGTTGCAGGTTTCTGGCAAAGGAATTAAATATAGTACAATAAGAGCTAGCCATTATTTTGTAATTCCACAGCCATGGAATTAGTTTGTATAATCTAGTATTTTATACATAACCCATTTGTATTTATTTTACTTCATCTAAAGCCTGCCATTCTCCACAATGGAGACTCAAAGTGGCTTATATCATTTCCCTCTCATCTATTTTAACCTCACATCAACCTTGTGAGGTAGGTTAGGCTGAGAAAGTGTGACTGGCCCAAGGACACTCAGCAAGTTTCCACGGCAGAGTGGGGACTCAAAACTGGTTTCCCAGACCCTAATCTGACACTCTAACCATAACGCTATCTGCATCTCTACGTCAGACACATTCATAAGAATCTTAGCTTTCAATGTTTTTAAAAACGAAGGTCCTAGCCCTCATACAGCAGAAATGAGAGTCCTCTGGCCCATGCAACAATGAGGCTCTCCTAGAAGCAAATCCTTCCTCTAGCTGATCTGAGTAGAATAGGTTACAGAAATGAACAGAACTAGTCAAGAACAAAGGCAATGGAACTAAGAGGGAAGTCATGGTGATAGTGCAAAGAACTGTGGGCAGGGAGGTTATTAGCTTCAGCAAGAAGGAGAACGCCTGCAATCTTGGCGAGAGCAGGTTCTGTAGAATGACTGGGATGGAAGCAAAGTTAGAAAGGATTAAAAAGAAAAGCTAGACAAGAAAGGCAGGTGCTTCAGAAGCTTTAAAATGAGGAGCAAACAGGTCAAGAAAAAAGGGAAAGAACGGAAGTGAAAGCCATTGAAGTCAGCTCTGCTACAGAGGGTACCTAACCCACATCTGCAAGAAAAGCCTCCCATACACACCATTTCTGACTGCCAGTGTAATTTTGGTATTATTTGGTATATAAATGCACATATCCTGTTAAATACACACACATGCAACAGGACATTTATTTAAAGAAACTGTAAGTGCTGTGAGACAGAGGAGATTATACCACATTTATACTTTGAGCAGCACCAGTGGTAACTTTTCCCCTGCAGTGCTTATGATTGTGCTTTACTGAGGAACATAATCAGTTGCGCCTGATATATAAGTACAGTTCCGCAGGGCCTGCAAGACAGAGCTCTTCCACCAGGCCTTCAACTAAGGAGCCGCACTATATAACTGAGGCCTTGGCAATATTAACACCATCGTCAACATCATTATAACATCATTTAAACAGCTGGATATAACCCAGGGTATGCTGGCAAGTTGCTTTTTTGTATTGTTGGATGCTGCTCATGCCCGCCATCATATATGAATCATTCTAGCACTTTGTATGTTTTTATGTGTATTTTGTTGTGCTTTTAGATAAATTTGTTTGAGTTTTTTTATCCTATGTAAGCCGCCCTGAGCCTGCCTTGACGGGGAGGGCAGGATAGAAATTAAATAAATAGTGTACAAGTATGGGAACACTGACGATCATTAAAAGTACTGAATGTAGATGCTGGTACAAGAGCTTAGAACTAAGGTGACGTTGTATGAAGGATACCTGGTTGTGTGCAGAACACCTTTTCAGGATTAAACCATTGTAAGACAACCCACAGTAGATACTCCCAATTATTATCACTGTGTCATCAGCAACTACAAGTCCTCTGATCATTATTTCTAATAATCTGTTACTTAAATGGGCATTGTGGGGGGGGGGGATACCACTGACAATACTGAACACAGGTGGCAGGGCAGATATGAGATCACAGTGCAACACAGTCCATAAATCAACTGAAAATTATCAGTGTGACACTCATACAAAAACAGCTGTCAGCTTCCCCAGTTCTGTTGGGCTGATGTGGATGAAAACACATAAGAACATAAGAACATAAGAGATGCCAATGTTGGATCAGGCCAAAGGCCCATCCAGTCCAACACTCTGAATCCCACAGTGGCCAGAAATACCAGTGCCATCAGGAGGTCCACCAGTGGGGCCAGGACATTAGAAGCCCTCCCACTGTTGACCCCCCCAAGCACCAAGAAGACAGAGCATCACTTGCCCCAGAGCCCCTATCTATACCTTGTGGCTAATAGCCACTGATGGACCTCTGCTCCATATGCTTATCTAATTCCCTTTTGATGCCGTCCATGCTTGTAGCCGCCACCACTTCCTGTGGCAGTGAATTCCAAGTGTTAACCACTCTTTGGGTGAAGAAGTACTTCCTTTTATCCGTTCTAACCCGACCGCTCAGCAATTTCATGGAGTGCCCACGAGTTCTTGTATTGTGAGAAAGGGAGAAAAGTACCTCTTTCTCTACCTGCTCTTTCCCATGCATAATCTTATAAACCTCAATCATGTCACCCCTCAGTCGTCGTTTCTCCAAGCTAAAGAGCCCTAAGCACCTTAACCTTTCCTCATAGGGAAAGTGTTCCAACCCTTTTATCATTCGAGTTGCCCTTTTCTGCACTTTTTCCAAAGCTATAATATCCTTTTTAAGGTGTGGTGACCAGAACTGCACACAGTATTCCAGATGAGGTCACACCATTGATTTATATAGGGGCATTATGATATTGGCTGAGAAGGAGGACAGCAGCTACCCAAGGCTACAGGCCTCAGAGTGGCACATCTGTGCAGTAACCTCACTGATTCTGTTATGTTCTACTCATTCTTCATCAGCCACAATGCTGCTGCTTATTCCCTCCCCTCAAAAATAAAAAAAAACCCTCTGAAAATCCTCTAGTATTCAAAATAAAGCATTCCAAATGCATGCATTTATTAAAAAGAAAATATAGATATTTAGGTCTGGGTTTCCTGGGGACACATGGCTAACGCCGCCGCCCCTCCAATACACTAATTTGCTACACAAATATCTTGCACTCATATCTATCTGCTCTGATATCACTACACATTCTAGTGCTTCCTTACATAAGCATTCAAAGAACACACAGGGAAAAGTAATATGAGAGCTAATCCAGAGACTAGAATGGTTCTCTACAGAAGAAAAAAGAGGATTTCATTCCACCTGTAAACTATTTGAACACATTATTTAAAATCCAAATTGCGTAATATCCTGCAGTTTTGCTGACACTGCTCCCCCTCACCCAAGAATGTACAATATTTCTTTCTAATAAAAATCATTTAATCATACCCAGAGGAGCAGTATACAGTCTCAACCAGGTCAGGACAATGACACCTTACTGATTCTGTGCTGTTGGGGAGCAGGGAGAGTAATCTTCATTAACGCAAAAGCAAACAGAATTGGTCCTTTCAGAAGTAGCTGCCCACAAGCAAAATCATTCAAGATGGCAGATACATGAGGAAAAGCAGCTTGGAA